TAAAAGAAAAGGTGACGTTTAGCAAATACAACCACCAGAACCCTGCAAGCACAAGTGATTGACAATTTTTGATTTAATAATTTAACCCTCGCGCGTTAACACTATATATATTCGAATTCAGGGTATATAAGAATAGAAAAAGTATCACAATAGAGAGTTTAAGAAAGTTTTAGTTTGAAAGTATTTATTTTGAAGATGGTTGAAAAATTTAAAATCTCCAATTTTGGCATAGTTTAAGAATGTTGAGATTTATTGAAATAAATTACACGCAGAAATTCCATACACTCAGCAAAGCGGGTGATGGCGAAATAATGTGCATCATTACAATTATTGAAATTCGCGAATAACTTTAATACCTAACTCAAGGCACATTAAAAGGTAGCAGGAGCAGAGTAGCTAATGTTTTTTTTTTTCAATTTAGTTGCCCTCTAAAATGTAAAGCTTTGTTTACATTCATTTATGTACTTTATTGAAACTAACTGTGTTTTTAATTGCTATTCTACGCACATGCAGCTGTCCATATATAAAAGCATTATATTACGTTCTCATTGAGCCATAAACTCGAGTTACACGTTTTGAGTTTATGAACAACTGTCAAGTGTTCACATTGGGGTGATTAAAAGCATAAACAGACGGCAGCGTTGATCCGGATCAACTCGGGAATTAACTGCAGTTGATACGGATTAAGTCAGAGTTAATCAGGATCAACGCTGCCGTCTGTTTAAGCTTTAAGAAACTCACGAGTTTAATTTGGCATTTTTTTGTTTACTTTTTCTTATTCTCATTTAGCCCGTTCCACAAAAGCCTCAGCACAAAAGTTCTACCGAGCCACATTTTTGGTTTTTGCATAGCTAGATTGTTCATATTCTAGACTTAAGTGCACGGAACGACCTCGGACTACTTCTGATTAAATCCTGCATCTCGGCCTAACTCCAACTCCAAGAGCCGCTTCATCAGATGCTTTCATTGTCCATGCCTCCGCGCCATACACCAGCGCAGGCATGATGAGTGGCTTATAGTGTGACCTTTGTACGACGAGAGAAGACTTTACTTCTCAATTGTCTACTCAGCCCAAAGTAGCACTTGTTGGCAAGAGTGATTCTCCGTTGGATTTCAAGGCTGACATTATTATTGGTGTTACTGCTGATTCCCAAATAAACGAAGCCGTCTACTTTTTCAAACTTATAACTGTCAACAGACCCATTCGCTTTGCTTCCCTATCCAATCCCGAGAAGGCAGAACAGACGTAGCCCTTGTTTTTACCGATAATATCGATGTCGTCGGTATACGCCAGCAATTGTACGCTCTTGTAAAGTATTGTGCTTGAGCGGTTTAGTTTTGCGGCTCTTATTATCTTATCCAATATCAGATTAAAGAAATCGCAGGAAAGGGATTCAACTTGTCTGAAACCTCGTTTGGTATCAACCGGCTCGGAGAGGTTCTACCCTATTCTGACGGAACTGGTGGTATTGCTCAACGTCATTTTACACAGCCGTATTAGTTTCGCGGGGATACCAAATTCAGGTATCGCGGAATAAAGGCAACTTCTCGTCGTGCTGTCGAAAGCGGCTTTGAATTCTACAAATAGATGGTGTGTGTCGATCCTATTCTCGTGGGTCCAAGATTTGGCGTATTGCGAATACCTGATCTATGGTGGATTTGCCAGACCTAAAGCCACACTGATAAGGTCCAATCAGTTCGTTGACGGTGGGCTTTAGTCTTTCGCACAATGCACTCGATAATACCTTATAAGCTGTGCTTAGAGCACACTTAAATTCCAGTCGTCGCACAGTGTATTATTTTCACATTCTAGAAAATATTAATTACATTATTTTATGTCGCCAAATTTCAAAACAACGTCAACAATGTTTTAAGAAATGCCTGCTAAAGACGAAACAATAACAATTACAAAATATAGACCAAAGTGTAGGGCGGGACGGGAATCGATTTGGAAGATTACCGAGCGCAGTATTATCTAAAATTGTATACTTGAAACTGAATCTCAATGTTTAATTTGTTGGCGTTATGTGATTTATGCAACAATTGCTAAAATACCATTTTGGTCTTATTTTTGTAGGTATATTCTTTTTAATGAATATACATTTTTGGGATTTTAGTAAACTAGGACTGAGTATTTCATGTTAAAGTAAAACGATGTTAATTTAGATTTATTTTTAGCAATTTATTAATTTCATTAGACCCGCAAACTCGTTAGCAGCGACTATTCGATAAAGTTTGTATCTCAGTTTATTTACCACTCCTCTTTGACTTTAAACAACACAATTTTAGCTGCTGGAAAGTTCAGGTTTTAATGAAATTTTCATTTTTCAGGCCTACTAGGAATTTTTATTTTCTTCGAGTAATTTATTTGAATTTCATCTCGGCCGAGACAAATTCTTGTATTTTCGCTTTGAATAGAGAAAGCCTAATTCATAACCTTTCCAATAGTATTCCACTTTTGTAAATAGAGCAAGAAATATTGGACTCGGTTTCGGGCTCTCTCTTCTTATTGCGGCAAATACGTCTCCCTTCCTTCTTCAGTTCTCTATAACGGTCCCACATAGCTCGCGTTGCGCCGATAGCATCGTGGCCCTATAGGCGGCGTCTTTTTTCTCTGCGGCTTCTTGACATTCCTCATCGTACCAGTTGTTCTTTCGGGTTCGCTGAAACCCAACTTCTTCTTCGGCGGCTGTACTTAATGATCGGGAAATGTGGTTCCACTGCTCGCGTATGTCGGATTGTTGAAGAGTGCTCTCTGAGAGCAGGTGTGAGAGTCGAGTAGCGAAAGCACTGGCTGTCTGTTGTGATTGCTGCTTTTCGACGTTAAGCTTTCCTTGCATATTTGGGCGCACATTTTTTGCTGCACAAAGGCGTGTGCGTATCTTGGCTGCAACAAGATAGTGGTCCGAGTCGATGTTTGGGCCTCGGAGTGTACGTACGTCCAAAACACTGGAAGCATGCTTTCCGTCTATCACAACATGGTCGATTTGGTTTCTCCTTTTTCGATCCGGGGGCAGCCACGTAGCTTGATGAATCTTTTTATGCTTGAACCTAGTACTACATATTACCATGTTTCGGGCCCCGGCGAAGTCGATCAGTCTCAGTCCGTTATCGGAAGTTTCGTCGTGGAGGCTGAATTTTCCGAAAGTGGCGCCAAGATCCCTTCCTTTTTCCGATTTTGACATCGTGTCGGGGGCAGCGCTCATATGTACGTTCCAAGCGCTCATAGAAGATATCCTTGGACGCCTCGCCCTTCTTTTCCGTCGGGGCATGGGCGCAGATGAGGGAGATGTTGAAGAATCTCGCTTTGATGCGGATGGTGGCTAGACGTTCGTCCACCGGGGTGAACGCCAGTACTCGGCGACG